CCTCCCGTACCGGGGCACGAACCCGCATCCCCTGCATCGGCAGGCTGACTCTCAACCACTGCGCCACCAGGGAGGCCCTCTGATGGCTTTTTGTGCTGAGTTATTTGCAAATGTGGCACTAAGAGTAGCAGGTTTTCATGTCTTGCATTCTCATGAGATGCTTGTTACTCATATCAGGCTCTTCCCAAGCATTTCCACTTTAACTGGATTAAAGAAGGGACTGCCAGCAAGGCCCCATTGACTAGGAAGTTCTGACTGAGATATTTGGGCAGAAAGGCACCTGGAACTATCTTGGGCTTCCTCTTTCTAGTTCAGGTAAAGGCTTAACATCCTCTGTTCTACATACCTTGGCTTCACCTGACAGATTTCCAGTGAAAGTGTTTGTCTCTGTTGAATTTTTTTTGTGGGGGGACAAATTTTTGATCTAGAGATTTATATTTAGCTAAGTTACTCCTCACATATATAGGTAAGAAAATATTATAGTATAACATGCGATTATATATGTAAACTTCTGGAAAAAAGAAAGAAAACTTTGTAATCTAAGCCAGTACAAAAAAAAAGAATGGAGAAAATAAGGAATACAAGGATTGGTAGCAAGCATTAGCATCATTTAAATACAGAGTTAAGTTTAAATGATTGTAGTATATAGATTCATTTGTTCCAGACAAGTTTACTGAATGCCTGTGATGTCAGTGCTTCCAAATCAATCATGAATTTAGTGAAGTTCCAGTAAAATACCAATAGAATTCCTTTAAGTTTAGTCTTTCTTAATAGATTCATGAGAGCAAATGTGAAAGAAAAAGTTTACAATTTCTGAAAAACAATATTCATAAATGAGCAATTGTTCTACAAGTTACCAGAACTTATTACGATAATACAGTAATTAAGACAGCATGGTACCAGCACAAGAATAGACACGTACATCAGTGGACCTGAGTGGAGAGCCTGGAAACAGTCCAGTTAAGTAGAAGAATAGTGTGAAAAGTATTGACTCTAACTAATGGTACGGGAAGAACTGTGATCCATCAAAGGGAGTTAGGGAGGATATAACATGAAATAATGACTTCGTAACATTTACAAAACTAAATTCCAGTTGATGAAAGGAATGATGCCTAAAAATCCTAGAAGAAAGCATTCTAGAAGAAAATATAAAACATCTTTTTTACAGAATTCTGGTGAAAAAAACATTTATAAGCAAGACCCAAAGTCAGAAGTAATAAAATAAAAGAAAATAGCACACACATAGTTACAATCGCTGTATGACAACATATTTATAGCAAAGTTAAAATAAAATAAAAAATGAGAGAACATTTACCACATAGATGAGAGAAATATATACATATATAGAATAGAAATAGCCCATAAATCAATACAAAAAGACAATATAACAAAATCATGTGCAACATGTATTAAAAAGTAAATCACACACAAAGAAAAACAAATGGCTAATAAATGTATTGAAAAGATTTTCAAAGTCACTGGGGAAATGCAAATTAAAACAAGGTGTCATTTTTCACCAATCAATTGGCTAAAAACTGTAAAAGATTGATAGTAGCCAACGTTAGCAAGAGGGAAATACAATTTTGGAGGTGAAGTTGGCATGACTATCAAAATATAAATTTTACAAAGCCTTCAACAATATAATTCCACTGCTAGAAATCTAATTCGAAAATGTGCGCAAGTGTACAAGATATTTATACCGTGATTTTCGTTGCTGCGTTAAACTTATTAGCCCAACTGCAAGACTACACTTAATTGCACAACAATGGAGAAACAGTTAAGTAAGTTATGATGGTGTGCTGGCCCTTGGTTGACTTTTTCTTTAGATCCAGTCCTCCCCTTCTCCTTCCCTGCTGTGTTCTCCAGGGGCTGCCCCCTGCAGACTTCCTTTCCTAGGATCCTCCCTCACCTGGCTTTGGACTCCTTTAGGCCAAGGGGCAGTACTGCTGGTAGATTGGTTGGCAGGAAGTACTTTTTTCATCCCCTCTCTGCTCTTTCTTGACAGGCCCATCATGGTTCTAACTTTCCCTGGGTGACCGCAGCCCCCAAGCTCTAATCACATAACCTCTTTTTCCATCTATAATTTAAGGATGCTAGTGGCTTCCTATGGATATGAACCTTTAGATTGCCTCTTTATTCCCATTTGGCTTTTTACTTCTTTCATCATCTCTGTAATTAATTCTTTGCATTAAAGTTCTCTACTTTAAATACTTTAAATAATTTTGTTTGCCTGCTTGGAATACACACACAGCAGTGCAGCCAGTTAAAAAAAAAAAATGCTGTATCACCATACGGAGTGGAAGAATTTACCTGATAAGTTGACTTCAAGAAGGAAAGTTGCGGGCTTCCCTGGTGGCGCAGTGGTTGAGAGTCCGCCTGCCGATGCAGGGGACGCGCGGGTTCCTTCCTCGGTCCGCGAAGATCCCACATGCCGCGCAGCGGCTGGGCCTGTGAGCACGGGCTGCTGAGCCTGTGCTCCGCAACGGGAGAGGCCGCAACAGTGAGAGGCCCATGTACCGCAAAAAAAAAAAAAAAAAAA